TTTTGCCTCCATTTTACCACTTTTCTGGCCACGGTTGTTAAATGAATCACTGCAGTTGTTAAGTTCGTTGTTAAATGAATCTTAGCTTCCCCATTGTGTCAGAAGGTCACAAAAGGGGAGCACATGACCCCAGGGGACGCCACGACCGTCATAAATGTGAGCCAGTTGCCAAGTGTCTGAAGTTTGATCACATGACCCTGGGGATGGAACAGTCGTAAGTATGAAAAATGGTCATAAGTCGCTTTTTTCAGTCCTGTTTTAACTTCAAACGGTCACTAAATGAACTGTTGTAACTCAAGGGCTACATGTACTTAAATCATTCCCCACAGATTCGAAATTCTACTTTATTGTACGATGACATTAACAGAATTTCGCCAGCATGAAAGAACAGGCCGTCCTCGGCTTATGACCGCAATTCACCTGGAAAAAATTCGTTAAGCGAGATATGCGTTGAGTTTTGCCTCGCTTTACGACCTTTCTTGTCACAGTTCTTAAGTGAATCACTGCAGTTGTTAAGTTAGTCACAAGGTTGTTAAGTGGACCTTAACTTCCCCGTTGACTTTGCTTATCAGAAGGTCACAAAAAGGGGATCATGTGACCTCGGGATGCTGCGACCGTCGTAAACGGTCGCAGCATCCAGCTGCTGAGCATCTGACCTTACGCGCACATGCGCAGACGAGAATGTGGCCACATGTGCACAAACAAGCCGCAAGCATGCACACCACGCAAATGGGGCTGTGAGCCTGCGTGTGAGGCTCTCAGTGACGCCGGTGTCTGTGTGAGGCTTGTGGTGCCACCGCCAACAGGCTTGCGGCGATGCTACCACCGGCGCGAGGATCACTCCGCCACCCCACGTCGGGCTCGCACTGCGGCCCACCTACTGCCTGCCTCTTGTGCTACCACCGCCGGCACAAACTTTGTGGCAATGCCACCACCTGCATTTGGCATGCTGCCGCCCACCTGCCACTCGCAGTGTTCCCGCTGCCTGTGCAAGTTCGTGGCAACGCCGCTGCCTGCACGGTACTAGCGGCAATGGTAGCACTAGGAGGGGTGAGCACGCGCACACACGCACGTGCACCGCTCAGCGGGCCGTGGCACATAGGTTGGGGACCCCTGGTGGCCATGCTTGTGGCTTGTTTGTGTACGCGTGTGCACTTGTGGCCACATTCACGTTTGTGCGTGTGCGTGTAAGTTCCCTCTCCCTCGCCAACCCATAAAGTTTGGAGACCCCTGTTCTAGACAACTTATTTGGCATTAAAAACCAGGGACATTTCTTTCCATTTTTAACGTATTTCACATAAATCATAACAGCAGGAAAACGAAGCGGCGGAGATACTCGCCTCGGTCACCGGGTTGCTGGTGAGGACGGGGAGTCTGGAGGACCCCCCACTCTGCCAGTGGGGCCCGTCACAGGTGGCATTCTCGGGGAGTTTGGTGCCGTTGGGGTCCCGGCACTGATGCGCAGGGGTGAGAGCAAAGAGGGCATCCGAGCCCAAGGCCAATCCCAGAAGGAGGCAGGGAAGGCAGCTGAGAGCCAGGAGAAGGCGCTGGCGACGTTGTCCCCGGGCCCCCAGGCGCCCCAGCAGCCATTCGAAGGAGGGAGGGCCCAGCTCAGAAGCCGAGGTGGTAAAATCCCTTCGGGGACCCCCGGGATCTGGGATCGGGGGGCTGGTATCCATGGGAAGCGTCTGTAGAAATGGGGGGAAAATGGAATTAATAAATAGGCAATAAGGAAGAAATACAAGAGAGAAAATGGAGAGGGTTTTAAATGAGTGTTGTTGAACTTTGGCTAATTTCAGAGGGGTGGACTTCAACTCCCAGAATTCCCCAGCCAGCCCTGCTGGCTGGGGAATTCTGGGAGTTGAAGTCCACCGGTCTTTAAAGTGGCCAACACTGGTTTAAATGAATAGCTGCATCTGTAAACAGCCGTTCCTTGGTTTTTGAACCCATGCATCCTTAGGTGATGTGATGCAGCACGGCGCCCAATAAAAGGGCAAAGAAATACTAAACCAGGTTAAAACAAACCCAGAATCTTAGCCTATGGGGAGAGAAAGTAGATTGTGAGTCCAGACAGGTACAATTCTCACAGGGAGCAGTAGGGGGTGCCATTCCCTTGGGTCAAGGGTCCCAACCTCTTGGTCGGGTCAGGAATTGAAGAGGTCAAGGCCCCCAAATCATGGCTTTTCTCCCTCAAACAGTCCGGACACCACTGTGCCATCCACACACCGCATTTTGGAGGAAGGGTCCCGGGGCCACAACTAGGGGGGCCCCCAAGGCAGAACCCATCCCTAGGATGCTGGCTGGCTGGCTGGCTGGGGATGCTAGGCATTGCAATCCCCCTGGGGACGCCTGGCATTGCAACCCCACCCATCTGAAAGCTGGAAAGGAGGGCCGAGGGAGGCAAGATGGGCTTTGTAGTCGCCCACAGGCTGGGGAGCTGGCGAAGCAAGGCTCCAGCAGGGGAAAAGAGAAAGCAGTGAAGATTCTTGGGTTTCTTTTAACCTGGTTTAGTATTTCTGGGACCTGGTTTGGGGCATCACCTGCGAAGGATGCAGGCGTTCACATGACCCCCTCTCTGGACCCCCTCTCTGGGCCACAACTAAGGGGGCCCCCAAGGCAGAACCCATCCCTAGGATGCTGGCTGGCTGGGAATGCTAGGCACTGCAATCCCCCTGGGGACGCCTGGCATTGCAACCCCACCCATCTGAAAGCTGGAAAGGACGGCCGAGGGAGGCAAGATGGGCTTTGTAGTCGCCCATAGGCTGGGGAAATGCGAAGCAAGGCTCCAGCAGGGGGAAAGAGAAAGCAGCCAAGATTCTTGGGTTTCTTTTAACCTGGTTTAGTATTTCAGGAACCTGGTTTGGGGCATCACCTGTGAAGGATGCAGGCGTTCACACGACCCCCCTTTCTGGGCAGGCTCTGCTTTTAAGGTGCAACTAAGCCGGGTTGGGGACAAATGCAAACGCAATTTGAATTTGGGGGGCAAAGCAAGGGGGGGTACAGGAAGGAAGGAAAGGCCGGTGGGGGGGCTGGAAAGGGGTCCCGGGACGCGACCAAGAGGGCAAAGCGGCCGCTCAAAAGGCGGGGACGGAGCAGCCGAGGGGAAACCCAGCCGGGGGGATGCTCACCAAGCGCCGGGTGGGCGCCCACCGCCGGCTGCAAGACACCCCGAAGCCAGGCCGCCACCGCCCGGGAAGCACAGGCCGAGGGAGCCGGCAGTCCCCGCCCCTCGGCCGCCTCCTCTTCCACCCAGAGCCGCCGCCCCCAGCCCGACGCAGCGGCCTCCTCGGCTTCTTTAGGGACCCGGGCGGCGGGCAGGATCTGCAACCTGGCGCCCGCCGCAATTCTCCTTCTACAGCCCGTCCACGCTCGACCCGGGCAGGCTTTGACTTCGGATTTGGGGAGGGGGCGTCGGCAGCAGCCTCGCGTCCATCCGGGCAGGCGTGGCCGGGGCTGGCAAGGAGCCCCCGGCCAGCGCCACGGGCGATCCCAGCTTTTGCGCGGGCGAGGGGAGCGCTCGGATCGGGCGCAGCCGGTGGAGGAGATCTCCCAGCCGCTGGTCGGAGGAGCCTTCCGCAATGTTTGGAGGGGAGGGGGCGGCGGCGTTAAGGAGGCATGCCGGGAGTTGTAGTTCAGGAGATCCGGCCAGTCGTATCCAAAGGCGGAAATTAAAATCCACACCCCCCCCTTTTTTTTCTTTCTTTCTTTTTTTGTGCACGGACTTTTTGGGGGGGCTGATTTCACGCGCGTCTCGTGTGTGAATGCCAGCCTGGGTTCCCCGCAAGATGCCTGATTTTAAACTCCCCTCCAGGTGTTTCTTAACTTCTGTCCCTTTAAGACCCCGCGCCCCTCGAACGCTTCTGATATATTCTCACACCCGCTTACGAAAGTGCGAAATAACGGCAACCGATTATGAAATTATACACTATAATTTTGAAAACCCAAGTTTTCGCACCCCCAGGAATATCGTCTCGCAGCCCCCTGGTCGGGAACCCCTGCTTTAAGAGGTCATGCACATGTATACATAACCCAAACTAGACTGTTGTTTCTATGTGTCGTATATGTGGGTATATGCATTATTCTGTATTTGTTTTTGTCATATTTATTTATGTAGTGTATATCGGAGGTGGTGACCCTTTAAGAGCTGAATGCAACGAAATTTCGTTTTAATGTACCTCGATTGGTGTACATTCAATGTGACAATAGTTATTATTCTATTCTATTCCATTCCATTATTCTTCTATTCTATTCCATATTTTCTATATTCTACTCTATTATTGTTATTATTTTATTCTATTCTATTCCATTCTATTGTTATTCTATTCTATTCCATATTTTCTATATTCTACTCTATTGTTATTATTTTATTCTATTCTATTCCATTCTATTGTTATTCTATTCTATTCCATATTTTCTATATTCTATTCTATTATTATTATTAGTCTAGTCTATTCCATATTTTCTATATTCTATTCTATTCAATTCTGTTTCAGACAAATGGCTGTCCACTCTTCTTAAAAACCTGCAGTGATGGAGCACCCACAACTTCTGGTGGCAAGTTGTTCCACTGGTTAATTGTTCTCATTGTCAGGAAATTTCTCCTTAATTACAGGTTGCTTTTCTCTTTTCTCTTTTCTTTCTTTCTTTCTTTCTTTCTTTCTTTCTCTCTCTCCTTTCCAATAAGAATAGAGTTGGAAGGGACCTTGGAGGTCTTCTAGTCCAACCCCCTGCTCAAGCAGGAGACCCTAAAGGTCACTTCTTTTACCACTGTCATAACTTCGAACGGTCACTGAATGAACGATTTTAGGTTGAGGACTAGCTACATACCAACAATTGCAAATCTAATTAAAGCTCTTGCAAGAACAATATCAGGAGTGTGGAGCGTATGGGTAATCCCCAATTTAGGACCAAGAATTGCCATCGCTAAATAGGCTGGTTGTTAAAGTTTCTCACGCCCTACTTTACGCTCATTTTTTGCCACGGTTGTTAAGTGGGTCACTGCAATCGTTAAATGAATCGTGGGCCGTTAAGTGAATCCAGCTCCCCCTCCCCTTAACTTTGCTTGCTGGGAAGGTCCCAAATGGGGATCACAACAACCGGGGTTGTTGAGTGCCTGAATTTTGATCACGTGATCCCGGCGACGCCGTGACGGTCCCGTCGTAAATCACTTTTTTCAGTCCCAGTGTAACTTTGGGACCGTCGTTAAATGAACGGTTATAAGTCGAGGACTATCTGCACAGCTGAATGGAGAAGGAAATAACAGCCGTTATTTTTTCCACCTATTTTATTATCATCAAACCTAGAGAGATTCTGGGAAATATTTCCTGAGAGAAAAAAAAATACTTTGTCCCCGTTTACTGATATTCTGAAGGTGTTTCTGCGAATTCAGTCTGTTTTCAACCAGGGTCCCTTCATGAGGGGTGGACTTCAACTCCCAGAATTCCCCAGCCAGCATAGCTGGCTGGGGAATTCTGGGAGTTGAAGTCCACCCCTCATGAAGGGATCCAGGTTGAGAAATACTCTTCTAATTAATAACCTTTTATATTGTTGGCCTTTCCAATCCTTGACACAATATCTTTTATTGCAACTTATCGGGAGGGAAAAGGGGGGGGCTGGCAATAAGACACCCCATTTGGCAGCCATTTTCTTCTTCCTCCCTTCCTGTTAAGCCTCTGGGGCTGTCCGGAGAGAGACAGAACGAGTGCTGTTCCCTTCCTTTTGACCATCGGGAGCGTCCAGAAAGCAGCCAAGGTCCCCCCCGTTTCCTCTCTCCCCCCCCCCGTTTTA